CTGGCGGCGTAGTTACCCTTCTGGTGTGGTTCCCTGACTCCTTGGCGGCGTAGTTACCCTTCTGGTGTGGTTCCCTCTGTGACTCGTTCTTGGCGGCGTAGTTTACTTAAATAATTGACGTGTTTGATTGAGAATTTCCATGTTGATGTCTCTATTGAGTCTCGTGGTTTGATGGGCTACGCAGTTACTTGTTCGTCGTTAAAAGTGGACCTGATTGATGGTGTGCGTAGTTAGTAGTGTACTTAATTGATGGAGAGTGTAGTTAACAGTTAGCTAAATTAATAGTCTAGTCATTAGCAGATCAACCTAACCTAACCTGCCGCCTGCGTAGTTGTTTTGAGGCAGAGTTAGCGTCGTCTGCTGCATGGCGTAGTTGGTTACTGAGGCTGTGACGTGATGCACGGCATTTCCTTTGTGGCGTAGTTGTTATTTAAGGATATCAAGTGACATAGTTACCTTTTGACCTAATTGATGTGACTTAGTTATCGTATGACGTAGTTAGCTGTGTGACGTAGTTGGCTGTGTGACGTAATTACCATGTGACGTAGGTGGCTATGTGATGTAATTAGCTGTTTGACGTCGTAATTACCGTGTGACGTTAGATGGCTGTGTGACGTAGTTTTTGTATGACGTAGTTACCCCCGTGACGTAGCTAGGTGCGGCATCTCTGGGGTTTGTCCTCCATGCAACACTTTATTGATCATCTGGTCTCCAGGCTCGGGCCCCGCGCTGTGCTCCCTCCTCCACCTGCAGTGTCCTCCAAGGTCTCCTCCCCTCTGTCCTCACCACCCCCGTGTCCCAAGGTCCCTCCCCCTGTCTCACCACCACCCCCTCCTGCCTCCTCCCTCTGTCCTCACCACCACCCCCCTGTGTCCTCCAAGGTCTCCTCCCTCTGTCCTCACCACCACCCCCTGTGTCCCAAGGTCCCTACCCTCTGTCCTCACCACCACCCCCTGTGTCCCAAGGTCTCCTCTCTTCTGTCTTCACCACCACCCCCTGTGTCCTCCTGTCCTCCCTCTGTCCTCACCACCACCCCCTGTGTTCTCCAAGGTCTCCCTCTTCTGTCCTCACCACCACCCCCTGTGTCCCCAAGGTCTCCTCCCTGTCCCCACCACCCCCTGTGTCCTCCAAGGTCTCCTCCCTCTGTCCTCACCACCACCCCTGTGTCCTCTACTGTCTCCTCCCTCTGTCCTCACCCACCACCACCCCCTGTGTCCTCCAAGGTCTCCTCCCCTGTCCTCACCACCACCCCCGTCCTGCTGTCTCCTCCCTCTGTCCTCACCACCACCACCCCCTGTGTCCCAAGGTCTCCTACCCTCTGTCCTCACCACCACCCCCTGTGTCCTCCAAGGTCTCCTCTCTTCTGTTCACCACCACCCCCTGTGTCCTCCCAGGTCTCCTCCTCTGTCCTCACCACACCACCCCCTGTGTTCTCCAGGTCTCCTCCCTCTGTCCCTCACCACCCCCCCTGTGTCCTCCAGTCTCCTCCTCTGTCCTCACCACCACCCCTGTGTCCTCTAAGGTCTCCTCCCTCTGTCCTCACCCACCACCCCCTGTGTCCTCCAGAGTCTCTCCCCTGTCCTCACCACCACCCCCCTGTGTTCTAAGGTCTCCTCCCCTGTCCTCACCACCACCCCCTGTGTCCTCCCAAGGTCTCCTCTCTTTTCTGTCTCCACCACCACCCCTGTGTCCCTCCAAGTCTCCTCCTCCCCTGTCCTCACCACCACCCCCCTGTGTCCTCTAAGGCCTCCCTCTGTCCTCACCACCACCCCCTGTGTCCTCCGCGCTCTTCTGTTCACCACCACCCCTGTGTCCTCCAAGGTTCCTCCCCCGTCCCACCACCACCCCCCTGTGTCCTCCAAGGTCTCCTCCCTCTGTCCTCACCACCACCCCCTGTGTCCTCCAAGGTCTCCTCTTTCTGTCTTCACACCACCACCCACCTCCATGGCCTCCTCTCACCACCTCCACGCGCCTCCTGGTCGGGGCTGTGTTGTAATACCTCTCTCCCTACTGTGTTGTTCATCAGTTTTGTTGTGTGTCTCTTCGTTATTTCCTCACCGCCCTGTTTCCCTCCTCTCACCTCCCTTATTTCCTCCCTCACCTCCTTGTTTCCTCTCCCTCACCTCCCTTATTTCCTCCCCTCACCTCCTTATTTCCTCTCCCTCACCTCCCTTATTTCCTCTCCTCACCGCCCTTGTTTCTCCTCACCTCCCTTATTTCCTCCCTCTCCCCTCCCTTATTTCCTCTCCCTCACCGCCCTTGTTTCCTCTCCCTCACCTCCCTTATTTCCTCTTCTCATCTCTCCTCCCTTATTCCATTGTTTTCTATGTATTGTCACTCTCTTTGTAGTGTTCCATACATACATACATACATACATACATACATACATACATACATACATACATACATACATACATACATACATGGTTTATACCTTGATATAGATGTTCTCTTACTTAGACTATTACTAAAAGTGAGACAGACAGACAGACAGACAGACAGACAGAAAGACAGACAGACAGACAGACAGACAGACAGAAATATTATACACCTGACTAAATATGGCGACAGGTGTGCGGTGGCTGAAATATTAAGAGAAATGGCAATTGGAAACACGGCTTTTGATGTTGACTCTCGGCTGGTCTGTGATTCATGGAGGCTTACCTGATAGGATAGTGATACAGGTAGACAGGTGATTCAGTCAGGTGATTCAGGTAGACAGGTGATACAGTCAGGTGATTCTGGAGACAGGTGATACAGTCAGGTGATTCAGGTAGACAGGTGATACAGTCAGGTGATTCAGGTAGACAGGTGATACAGTCAGGTGATTCAGGTAGACAGGTGATACAGTCAGGTGATTGTGGTAGACAGGTGATTCAGGTAGACAGGTGATTCAGGTAGACAGACTCTCAAGTTACTGTTTTCACCTCACCACCTTGTTTGGTTTATATTGTTTTAATGTGTATAGTTATGGTGTTTTAATGTGTATAGTTATGGTGTTTTAATGTGTATAGTTATGGTGTTTTAATGTGTATAGTTATGGTGTTTTAATGTGTATAGTTATGGTGTTTTAATGTGTATAGTTATGGTGTTTTAATGTGTATAGTTATGGTGTTTTAATGTGTATAGTTATGGTGTTTTAATGTGTATAGTTATGGTGTTTTAATGTGTATAGTTATGGTGTTTTAATGTGTATAGTTATGGTGTTTTAATGTGTATAGTTATGGTGTTTTAATGTGTATAGTTTTGGTGTTTTAATGTGTATAGTTATGGTGTTTTAATGTGTATAGTTTTGGTGTTTTAATGTGTATAGTTATGGTGTTTTAATGTGCATAGTTATGGTGTTTTAATGCGTATAGTTATGGTGTTTAATGTATAGTTATGGTGTTTTAATGTATAGTTATGGTGTTTTAATGTGTATAGTTATGGTGTTTTTTAATGTTATAGTTGGCGGTGTTTTAATGTGTATAGTTATGGTGTTTTAATGTATAGTTATGGTGTTTTAATGTGTATGGGTTATGGTGTTTTAATGTATAAGTTATGGTGTTTTTAATGCATAGTTATGGTGTTTTAATGTGTATAGTTATGGTGTTTTAATGCATAGTTATGGAAGTCTTAACGTGTATATTATGGCGTGTTTTAATGCATAGTTATGGTGTTTTTAATGTGTTATTAAATATGGTGTTTTAAATGCTATGTTTATGGTGTTTAAATGTATAGTTATGGTGGTTTTAATGTGCATAGTTATGGTGTTTTAATGTGTATAGTTATGGTGTTTTAATGTGTATAGTTATGGTGTTTTAATGTGTATAGTTATATGTTTAATGTGTATAGTTATGGTGTTTTAATGTGTATAGTTATGGTGTTTTAATGTGTATAGTTATGGTGTTTTAATGTGTATAGTTATGGTGTTTTTATGTGTATAGTTATGGTGTTTTAATGTGTATAGTTATGGTGTTTTAATGTGTATAGTTATGGTGTTTTAATGTGTATAGTTATGGTGTTTTAATGTGTATAGTTATGGTGTTTTAATGTGTATAGTTATGGTGTTTTAATGTGTATAGTTATGGTGTTTTAATGTGTATAGTTATGGTGTTTTAATGTGTATAGTTATGGTGTTTTAATGTGTATAGTTATGGTGTTTTAATGTGTATAGTTATGGTGTTTTAATGTATATGCAGTACTTGTTTTAATGTGTATATAGTTAGGTTGTTTTAATGTGTATATTTGTTTTAATGTGTATAGTTGCGTTTCGTTTAATTTGTGTATGTAATTAATGTTTCTATATACTGTGTGTTGTGTCGTGATGATAATGAAGAAAATTACTTGTATTTAATTTATTTACTGAGTGAGAGAGAGAGAGAGAGAGAGAGAGAGAGTGAGAGAGTGAGAGAGAGAGTACTGTATAACACGAAAGTAAGAGAAAAACATTAAAGAAAGTAGAATAAAAGTATTACAAAAAGTATATAATGAAAATACGATAGAAACTCTAAAAAACATAATGAAAGTATAGTGAAAGTATAAAGTGTAAACATAAGGTATAGAATAAAAGTTAGGAAGAAAGTATTGAGGGGAAAAAGGTGTAGGAAATGCATAGTGAAAGTGTGCAGGAAAGTATAAAGTGAAAGTATAGAGGAAAGTTGCTTGTTGTGGGAGGTGTAAACACGCAACAGCTGGTGTGGAGAGGGAGGAAAAGACAACAGAAGGAGGACGTGAAAAGGAGTGAAGGAGAGATTGAAGAAGGAAAATGGAATGGAGAAGGAAAGGAAAGAATGAAAGAAGGAGAGAGAGAGAGAGAGGGAGGGAGTGAGTAAAGAGAAGGAGGAAGTGAAAATGGTTGAAAGGGAGAAAGAGGAAGAAGGGAAATGAAATGAAGTGGGGACGAAGAGAGAGAGAGAGAGAGAGATAGTTGGCTGTACCCTGGCGCTCTCCCTCACAGCCTGAGTACAGGGAGAGGAAGGAAAGAGCGGCGACAAGTAGGTCAAGGGAAGAGGGAGAGG